TTCACATTTTGAAGACTTGTTTCTAACTTCATTTAGAGTCTAGTTAGGACTTAAAGGGCACAACATACTCTCTACCTCAAATATGAGGAATCAGTGAGCTAAATAAACCTCCCTGTCCAACTGAGTGTAAGTGGGTCAGTTTGCTCTTTGAATCTGCTGAGTATGGGCTGCTCTCCTCCTCTTTCTTCCTCTGCCCTTCTTTCTTCCTTTCCTCCCTTTCTTCCTTCTCTTTTCCTTCCCTGAGTACAAGGAATAATAAAGAGGAATTAGCTATTAAAGATAGGACATACTTTTGTTTGCTAACTTAAGAAAGGTTACTTTGGGCCTCTCCTATGTTCAACTCTTTGGAACCCCAAGGACTGTATAGAATTCTCCAGGCCAGAATACTGGAGTGGGTAGCCTTTCCCTTATCCAGGGTATCTTCCCAACCCAGGGATCAAACCAGGGTCTGCTGCATTGCAGGCGAATTCTTTACCAACTGAGCTATCAGGGAAGCCCCTTAAATTGGGCAGTAGTTTTCTAAATTGTCACTGTGAACACTGCATATCACAATGACACATTTCACAATGACACATTTTGCTATATGAAACTGAAAGTGAGGTTGCTCAGTTGTGTCCAGCTCTTTGCAACCCCGTGGACTGTAGCCTACCAGGCTCCTCCACCCATGGGATTCTGCAGGCAAGAACACCAGAGGGGGTCACCATTCCCTTCTCCAGGAGATCTTCCTGACTCAGGGATTGAACCCAAGTCTCCCACATGGCAGGCAGATGCTTTACCCTCTGAGCTACCAGGAAGCTTGAAAGGCCCATCGTAAATCAACCTCCTTGAGAGCAACATCCTCAGATTCCAAGATCAAGCTAGTCTCAGGATTTCTGAATCCCCTGGTCCCCGAGACTGGTTTAGCAAAGGTCAAAAGGACAAGTAGTACCTGCCCACAGAAACACTCTGGGTATTTTTCCCACCTTAGCTCCAGCTATCATCTTAGAGAAAATCAAATTCTGCTTCTCACTCTATAATAGACATTTTCCCCACATATATAATTTCCCCTTAAAATGAGATGATGATATTTCAGTGAATAAAAGAGCCTCTTAAAATCCTTATTTGTCCCACAAGTGTGATTGCTTTCCAACATTAAAGAAAATCCATCATGGTTTTACATTATTTGAAGATTTATGCACCAATGGACATAATGACAACATATTGTTTGGAAGCGTCAGGTTCTTACAAAAGCTGTGGGATTCCTTCAACAAATGTGTGCCCTCGAGTATCTGAGCCGCTGAAGGTGCTACAAACAATAGGTGTTGATTACGGTTTTGCTTTCCTAAGATAGAGCTACATTTTGATATTTAAATTGGATAACCAACAAGGACCTACTGTACAGCTCGGGGAACTCTGCTCGATGCCACGTGCCGTCCTGGATGGCGGGAGGGTTTGGGGGAGAGTGGATGCGTGTGTATGTGTGGCTGAGGTCCTTTGCTGTCCCCCTGAAAGGAGCAGGACATTGTTCATCCACTATGTCTCAATACAAAGAGAAAGTTTGAAGTTTGAAAGAAAACCCCAACAGTTCACTGTCTCATGCACACTGAAGTGTGACTACACATTGAGATCTTCCGTAGAGTTTTAGCAAATACTGACATTTGGCTTCTAGCCCCCGAGATGCTGGATTAATCAGTTTGATCAATGGGGCTTTAGAAAGTGTGCCAGATGATTCTAATGGACAGCCACGGTTGAAGCTCTGCTTCAGAGGAATTATTTTCAGCCTGGGAAGACTGAGCTGCAGAAAGACTAGAAAGAAACCTGTGCATGTCAGTCCCTGCCCTGCCTTTTTTATTACAATTTATTATTTGACTCCTGTATAGTTTAGAAATATGTAACTCATTTCCAATTATGTTATTTCTCATAATTTTATTATTGATTTCAAATTAACCACACTGCAGTCTGAGTCTTATCTGTTTAAAATTTGCACTTTAGAAGTTTCTCCCAGGGACTTCCTTGGCGGTCCAGCGGCTAAGACTCCATGCTCCCAACACAGGGGGCCTGGGTTTGACCCCTGGTCAGGGAACAAGAGCCCACATGCTGTAACTAAAGATCCTGGGCTCTGCAACTAAGACCTGGTGCAGCTGAATAAATAAAAACAAATATTGAAAAAAGTTTCTCACACACCAAATGAATATGCAAATGATATTAAGAAGATATTACATATTGACTCTGCTTCGTGCACTACTTTATCCACGGCAGTTACTATATGTAAACAGGCCTAATGTAACTTCAAGTGAGCCTTATGAGATAAATTCTATTGTAATTATTTTTCTAGCTTTCAGATAAAGTCAATTAAGTAGGAGGATACCAATGTGTTTGGAGTCATAAAGCTCACAGTTGGCAGAGCCACATTCCAGAACACCTACGTCATATCTAAGACCGTGTTTTTAGTCACTACGTGAAACACAGGAGTTATTTTTTTTTCCCATTTATTTTTATTAGTTGAAGGCTAATTACTTTACAATATTGCAGTGGTTTTTGCCATACATTGACATGAATCAGCCATGGATTTATATGTGTTCCCCATCCCGATCCCCCCTCCTGCCTCCCTCCCCACCCGATCCCTCTGGGTCTTCCCAGTGCACCAGCCCCGAGCACTTGTCTCATGCATCCAACCTGGGCTGGTGATCTGCTTCACCCTTAATAGCATACTTGTTTCAATGCTGTTCTCTCAGAACATCCCACCCTCGCCTTCTCCCATAGAGTCCCAGAGTCTGTTCTGTACATCTGTGTCTCTTTTTCTGTTTTGCATATAGGGCTATCATTACCATCTTTTAAAATTCCATATATATGCGTTAGTATACTGTAATGGTCTTTATCTTTCTGGCTTACTTCACTCTGTATAATGGGCTCCAGTTTCATCCATCTCATTAGAGCTGATTCAAATGAATTCTTTTTAATGGCTGAGTAATATTCCATGGTGTATATGTACCACAGCTTCCTTATCCATCCATCTGCTGATGGGCATCTAGGGTTGCTTCCATGTCCTGGCTATTATAAACAGTGCTGTGATGAACATTGGGGTGCATGTGTCTCTTTCAGATCTGGTTTCCTTGGTGTGTATGCCCAGGAGTGGGATTGCTGGGTCATATGGCAGTTCTATTTCCAGTTTTTTAAGGAATCTCCACACTGTTTTCCATAGCGGCTGTACTAGTTTGCATTCCCACCAACAGTGTAAGAGGGTTCCCTTTTCTCCACACCCTCTCCAGCATTTATTGCTTGTAGACTTTTGGATAGCAGCCATCCTGACTGGCGTGTAATGGTACCTCATTGTGGTTTTGATTTGCATTTCTCTGATAATGAGTGATGTTGAGCATCTTTTCATATGTTCGTTAGCCATCTGTATGTCTTCTTTGGAGAAATGTCTGTTTAGATCTTTGGCCCATTTTTTGATTGGGTCATTTATTTTTCTGGAATTGAGCTGCAGGAGTTGCTTGTATATTTTTGAGATTAGTCCTTTGTTGCTTTGTTTGCTATTATTTTCTCCCAATCTGAGGGCTGTCTTTTCACCTTGCTCATAGTTTCCTTTTTTGTGCAAAAGCTTTTAAGTTCCATTAGGTCCCATTTGTTTATTTTTGCTTTTATTTCCAATATTCTGGGAGGTGGGTCATAGAGGATCCTGCTGTGATTTATGTCGGAGAGTGTTTTGCCGATGTTCTCCTCTAGGAGTTTTATAGTTTCTGGTCTTACATTTAGATCTTTAATACATTTTGAGTTTCTTTTTGTGTATGGTGTTAGAAGGTGTTCTAGTTTCATTCTTTTACAAGTGGTTGGCCAGTTTTCCCAGCACCACTTGTGAAAGAGGTTGTCTTTTTTCCATTGTATATCCTTGCCTCCTTTGTCGAAGATAAGGTGTCCATAGGTTCATGGATTTATCTCTGGGCTTTCTATTCTGTTCCATTGATCTATATTTCTGTCTCTGTGCCAGTACCATACTGTCTTGACTGTGGCTTTGTAGTAGAGCCTGAAGTCAGCAGGTTGATTGCTCCAGTTCCATTCTTCTTTCTCAAGATTGCTTTGGTTATTCGAGGTTTTTTGTATTTCCATACAAATTGTGAAATTATTTGTTCTAGTTCTGGGAACACAGAACTGTTAATGAGTTATAACCTCATTAACAATATCCTAAAATTTCCCAAGTATCTTTTAAAAAAGGCTTTCGAAATATTATTATTCTTTCTTTTGTCTTTGTGATAGGTAAGTGGGTTAATATTGAAAAGTGTAGTATCCTCTTTTTAAATTAAAAAGAATGAATTGGAAAAAATAAAATTAAAAAAAAAATGAATTGGAGTACCACTGCTATACGATGTGCCTTTAGTTTCTGCTGCACAGCGAGGCTCAGCCGTATGTGTCCACACCTCTCTTCCTCCTGAGCCTCTCCCCAGCCCTTCTGCCACCCCACTGGGTCATCACAGCACCAGGCTGAGGTCTCTGGGCTACCCTCTGGTGTGTGTGGGAGCACCGACACACAGAACGATTAGTTAGGGGCAAAGTCAGCCAGGGTTATTTCTTTTAAAATTGTTCACTACAACCCCACTGTGTTCAGTGTGGGTTGAAGGCAGTTTCTTCCCATGGAAACTGTGGTAACAATTGACTTAAAGATGTATTCTTTTCCTACAGATCTAAGGATCTTTTCCTACAGATCCTACAGCCCCAAGGCGATGGCTGGAGGAAGGAACAGAACAACAATCACAGAGTTCATTCTCTTGGGGTTCTCTGAGTTTCCAAAGCTCACCGCTGCCCTCTTTTCAATATTCCTAGGGATCTACCTGGTGACGGTATCTTGGAACCTGGGACTCATCGCCCTCATCAGGATGGACCCCCATTTGCACACGCTTATGTACTTTTTCCTCAGTAACCTGTCCTTACTGGATACCTGCTATGTTTCCACCATAGCTCCTAGAATGCTCTCAGACTTCTTCAGGAAGCATAAATTCATCTCCTTTACGGGCTGCACCATGCAGTACTTCTTCTTCTCTAGCCTGGGTCTGACTGAGTGCTGTCTGCTGGCGGCCATGGCTTATGATCGCTACGTTGCCATTTGCAGTCCTCTGCTCTACACAGCCATCATGTCCCCCACCCTCTGCCTGCAGATGGTGCTTGCTGCCTACACAACCGGATTCTTCGGCTCATTGATCCAACTGTGTGCTTTACTTCAGCTCCACTTCTGTGGACCAAACATCATCAACCATTTCTTCTGCGACCTGCCCCAACTGCTAACCCTATCCTGCTCGGACACCTTGTTCTTTCAAGTCATGACATCTGTGCTCACAGTCATCTTTGGGCTCATGTCTGTCTTGGTTATCATGATATCCTATGGTTACATTGTTGCCACTGTTCTGAAGATCACTTCAGCTGAAGGCCGGTCCAAAGCCTTCAACACTTGTGCTTCCCACCTGATAGCTGTGACCCTCTTCTTTGGCTCAGGTATCTTTGTTTATATGTATCCTAATTCTGGCGGTTCCTCAAGCCAAAACAAGCTGGCATCTGTCTTGTACACTGTTATAATCCCCCTGCTAAATCCATTGATCTATAGCTTGCGGAACAAGGAAATCAAAGATGCCCTAAACATATGGAAGAAGAGACTCTTCCTGGTGTTACTGACTATGGAATTTATTTCAGCTATACGCTGTAGGAGAAATGTCAACTGAAACATTGATCTATAACTCTCCTAACTGCAGAGTGAGTTATAATTACTATCGCCTTCTGATGTAAACCCATGGCTGGCACAAGGAGAGGACAATACATGAGAAGTATCTGGAAGTTCATTATCTCCGTGCTTCATCAGTGATGACCTAATATATCAATAGGTCAAGAAATTCACAAGCGTTTTTGTAGCTAGTTATGATGATGTGAGTCTTCCATTTCAATGTTCCATCCTTTAGCATGCACTACCTCAAGGACCAATGGTGCCGGGGACCAAGCAGATCAAGGTTGCCAGGAGACCAGCAAGCCTCCCCCTAGCATCTCACTTTAGGCAGGACAGGAATTACTACTAGTACTGAGCTCTTCTAAAAAAGAATTTCCTAACTCATTCTGTTGGTTCTCTCATGTAACCTATTCTTTCACCTCTGGAAATCATGAATTCATTACTTCATTTATGGACTTGTTCACAGCAAAAATAAACATAAGGGATCAAAGATTTGTTAACTTCATACAAAAATAAGTTTGTTGCAACAAGAATGCTCAACATATCTGTCATAGTTAAGATTTGGTTGATCAGTTGGCTTGTTAGGGACAGTTAGATTATTTTTTAATCTGTTATTGCTATACAGTCATCTCTGCTCTTCCTTCTTCCCTGTGTAACCAGAGAAGGGAATTGGAAAATGGCCCTTTGCTGGTGAGGTGGTCCAGTGCCTGATTTTGGCACTTCAAACAATGTCTTTATGTTACCTTTTTGGTTGCTTTTTGCTTTTTAAGTAGACCAAGTCTCCACTAAGAAGTTGTTTTCTCCATAATTTTTTGTTTGTTTGTTTTCCCCATAATTAACAAGTGAAAAGTGGTATTGGTAAAATTAGCTATAAGAAGCTGATACGTGAGAAAAGTCTAGATTTATCATGTACTCTGTACATGAGAAAGTCTAGATTTATCTATTTCCCTTGTAACCTTGGCTGGAGCTGTTACAAGCTGTAAAGAAATACTCAAGTATTGAGGCTGGGACAGAAAACACTCTTGTTTATCTTCTGGTAGGATTCTGATTTTCATAATCTTTAGGCCAGAAATGAAAAATATAATTCAGAAGACTACTCTAGGTAGAAGGCATTCTGTTCATTTCTCCTTTTATGTTCAGAAGGGAAAATTCAAAGCCCCCAGGAGTAATCATGAGGTAAGAACTTAAAGCTAAGTGTTGGACACCTGTAGGCACTACAGCTTTGAAGTTTCTGCTTCTAGGACTCCGTATTCCTGAGTCCTAGAAAACTCCATATTCCTGAGTTACAGTTATTGGATAGGATTTTGTCAAGGCAAGTTAGATATATAGGATGGTAGACATAGGTTTGATTTAAAGTCTTTTTCAGCACTAACATCTATTAGTATCCCATTCAGATCTTCCTCAGCTTTAGCCTAATGACCAAGACTGGACTGGAGTTGGGACTAAACTGGAGTTGAGAAAGAAAAGTAATTCCTGAAATGCCACATATTTTGCCTGGTTGGATCCTTAACACTTTTATGGCCAAATATAATTATGATCTCCGATATACCTGCTTAAAATCAATGTTAAAGCCAGCAGAGAAGTTTCATTATGTAAAATTTCAAATTGCTTCAATTACAAAAAACATAATCTTCATGAAAGAGTGATAAGGCCCTTAAATAAGAGGATCCTATTTAGACAGAATACCTGGGGACCTTTTACTCTGACCTTCAAATGACCTGAAAGACATAGATGTTTCAGACATAGAATCGCTGTGCAGGAATTTCTCATGAATGATAAACGTTCTGAGGTTAATTAGTCATGACAGAGGCTGAGGAATTAGACAAACTCCTAAACAGTACTCTGTTCTTTTTTTTGTAACTACATGAGTTTAACATTTTTGTCTTAAAAATGAAACCAGGATAGTTTTTGTAAATTTGTACTAGGGGAAAGTAAAAAGACACTTGCTCCTTGGAAGGAAAGCTATGACAAACCTAGACAGTACATAAAAAAGCAGAGACATCATTTTGCCAACAAAGGTCTGTACAGTCAACGCTATGGTTTATCCAGTAGTCATGTACTGATTTGAGAGTTGGAGCTTCAAGAAAGCTGATTGATGAAGAATTGATGCTTTTGAACTGTGGTGTTGGAGAAGACTCTTGAGAGTCCCTTAGTGGGCTGCAAGGACATCAAATCAGGATTGCTTAAAGGAAATCAATACTGAATATCCACTGGAAGGACTGCTGCTGAAGCTGAAGTTCCAGTACTTCCTTCTCCAGGGGATCTTCCTGATCCAAGGATTGAACCGGGTCTCCTGCATTGCAGGCGGATTCTTTACTGAAAACTGAGAGAAAGGCAAATCAAAACTACAGTGAGGTACCACCAGTCAGAATGGCCATCACTAAAAAGTCTAAAATAAAAAGTGCTGAGAAAGGTGTGGATAAAATGGAACTCCTCCTGTATTGTTGATGGGAATGTAAGTTTGTGCAGCCACTGTGGAAAAGAGTAGGGGGGTTCCTCAGAAAACTAAAAATAGAATTACCTCATGATCCAGAAATCCCCCTCCTGGGCATTTATCCAGACAAAATTGTAGTTCAAAAAGATACATGGACTCCTATGTGCATTAAAACCATATACACAATAGCTGAGACATGGAAACAACTTAAATGTCTAACAGATGACCAAATAAAGAAGATGTGGTACAGATACACCATGGGGTATTACTCTGCCATAAAAAGAGCAAAGCAATGCCATTTGCAGAAACATGCATGCAACCAGAGGTTATCATACTAAGCAAAGTAAGTCAGAAATAATACCCTATGACATCATTTATATGTGCTAAAATATGACACAGATGAACCTATCTATGAAACAGAACTAAAGAGCCTCTTGATGAAAGTGAAAGAGGAGAGTGAAAAAGCTGGCTCAAAACTCAATGTTCAAAAAATGAAGATCATGGCATCCGGTCCCATCACTTCATGGCAAAGAGATGGGTAAGCAATGGAAATAGTGACAGACTTTATTTTCTTGGGTTCCAGAATCACTGTGGACAGTGACTACAGCCATGGAATTTAAAGATGCTTGCTCCTTGGAAGAAAAGCTATGACCAGCCTACACAGCATATTAAATAGAAGAGACACTACTTTGCCGAGAAAGGTCCGTCTAGTGAAATCTATGGTTTTTCCAGTAGTCATGTATGGAGGTGAGAGTTGGATCATAAAGAAGATCAAGTGCTGAAGAACTGATGCTTTTGAACTGTGGTGTTGGAAAAGACTCTTGAGAGCTGCCTGGACTGCGAAGAGATCCAACCAGTCCATCCTAAATGAAATCAGTCCTGAATATTCCTTGGAAGGACTGAGGCTGAAGTTGAAACACCAATAATTTGGCCACCTGATGCGAAGAACTGATTCATTGGCAAAGACCCTGATGCTGGGAAATATTGAGGGCAGAAGGAGAAGGGGACGGCAGAGGATGAGATGGTTACATGGCATCACCGACTCAATGGACATGAGTTTGAGTGAGCTCTGTGAGATGGTGAAGGACAGGGAGGCCTGGCGTGCTGCAGTCCATGGTGTCATAAGGCGTGCATGCTAAGTCGCTTCAGTTGTGTCTGACTCTGTGACCCCATGGACTGCAGCCCGCCATGCTCCTCTGTCCATAGCTTTCTGCGGGCAAGAATACTGGAGTGGGTTGCTGTGCCCTCCTCCAGGAGATCTTCCTGATGCAGAGATGGAACCCAAGTCTCTTATGTCTACCTGCATTGGCAGAGGGTTCTTTACCACTAGCATCACCTGGGAAGCTCACTTTAGCACAGAGAACTAAATTCAAAATCCTATGAGAAACCATAATGAATATTAAAAAAAATGTATATGTGTGTATAACAGAATCACTTTGCGGTGCAGCAGTAATTAACACAGCATTGTAAATCAACTATATTTCAATAAATGAAGTGTGTAAGTTTCAGACCCTTACAGTCTATGCTTAGCCCAGCACTTTGGGTGTGCACTCCCCAGAGAGAGCCTTCACAAGCACTTTGTCCAGCCCAGCAGCACTGACCAGCTCCTCTCCTTGGTGAATGAGGCGCAGAGTTCCCACAGAGCCTTAGAGAATGGATAAATGGGAGATCATTTTTGAGCTCTCCTAGAGAGCCAGTGGTATTATTAGCAGCTGCTTCTGCGTGCCAGGATTTTGTGCCTTTTTTTTTTTTTTTTTGCACTGTTCTCTGTTCTTCTAGCTTCCCTTGTATTTATTTTAAATTAAATTTAAAAGAATCAAGGGCAGAGAAGTGCCTGAGAAGGATAGAGTGGAGCTAGAAAAACAAGCCCCTGAAGTCTTGCTTACTATCTACCCACTGGCTGCTCTACTGTGCTTAGACAGGATGTTCAGATTCCTTTTAGCCATTCAAAGTTTACCAAGAGCATCTTCTGACTATCTCTTATAAAATCACCAAAAAGATTTATTGGAGTTGATGAAAATAACCTCTGATACACAGTTGAGTGAAGAAAAGCCTCCAAACCATGCAAAGCAGGAACGCAAAGGCTCATTCCATGAAGCACATGCCTGTGATTGCAGTAATAAAGGTGCTCACTTCTTTAGATCATTCTGTCTGATCTCGCCATTCTGAGAGTTGTCCCATCCAGAATGAAAGGATAGAGAAAAAAGCAAGTCTGTGACATGGGTATATTCATAAACAGAGAGAAGCAAGACTTAACAGGTAGCCTTGGAAAGTAAATAGCAGAAAGTGAATTATTGATGGAGCCACACCCTGATGAGATTGCAGGTGAATAGCTTTACTGTT